AGGTCATGTTTTCCTTCTCTCATAGATAATTTGAATTTTTATTTTGTCTTTCTGCAGTGAAATTGACTTTAAAAATTCTGTGAGTTTAAACACTGTGTAGATGACTGTAATCTCCATTGCATATGTGGTGCAGAACAGTGCTGTCCATCCTGAAAACTCTTCATTTGTAGTGACATCCACATCTCTCAACCCTGGAAAGTGCTGATCGGTTTTCCTTCACTATAGTAGTATTTGGTGAATGCCATAGAAACAAAACTCTACCATATGTACCCTAAGGATAACACCTTTGTTTCACCAGTATAATGCCTTTGAGAGTCAACCAAAATGTTGCATATATCAAGCATTTGCTCTTTTTTTATTGCTGAGTGATTTTCTATGACCTATAATATGCAACAGTTTTAATATCCATTCACTTACACTGGAAAGACTGACTCCAAGTTGTGTATGTTATAAATTAGAGTTATTATGGTCATTTGTAAATGACCCCTCATCTCAGGAGGGGTGTATATCATACCCAGGGGCAGGATTACTCGGTCATGGGATGTGTGTTTTAAAATAAAAAAAAAAAATTGCATGAGATACTGCCAAACTGTCTTTTTTAGAAGATATATTTTGTTTATTTGAATGACAGTCGTATGCACACACACTGCTTTCTTTCTCCCCAAATGGCCACAATGATGGCTGGAACTAAATCGGGTCTAGCCCAAAGCTTCATCTGGCTTCCCATGCGGGTGGCCAGAACCCAAGCACTTGGCCCATCTTCTACTGCTTTCTGAGGCCCATTAGCAGGAGTGTGGATCAGAACTGGCTCAGCTGGTGCCCTTATGGCACCACAAATGGAAACTTAACCATTAAGCCACAATACCTACCCCCCAACTCTTTTGTGTAGTGGTAATTTTGTATTCTCAACAGTGTATGAGAGTCCCATTTTTTTGTTTTGTTTTGTTTTTGTTTTCCATACCCTTTCCTGGAATTGCTATTGTTCACATTTTAGCAATTCTAACTTGTAAGGAGAGGCATCTGCTTGTGGTTTTATTTACATTTCCCTTCTGGTATGAAACATCTCTTTGTGTCCTCGTTTGCCATGTGTGTTTCTTGCTGTCTGTAAAACTGCACATCTGCAGAAAGTCATAGTGTTCCAAACCTGCAAGTTTTTTTTTAAGTCCAAAAATCACAGCATACACCAAATAAAATATAGATACAATACAGTGGCCAAGACTTTGCGTTTGCAAGAAGGAAATAAGAAGTGACTTAACTGAACAGAAATCCTTCTTAATCTCTCTAGTCTTTGCTTTTGACTTTCAGTCTGTCCTTTTGTCCTTCTGGACCTCTTTCTCATACTTTTAAAGTTTTAAAAAATTCCCTGAGTTATTTTTGTTGTTGTTGTTTCTTTTATTTCTTCCTCCATGTCTCCTCCCTTCCCCTTTTCTCCCTGTTCATTCTTCCATTCATCCATTTTGCGGCTTTAGATGAGTTCTTCACCTTTGTTTAACAAACACTTGCATTTTACTCTACATTTTGTGATTTCTGAGAATTTTATGAATTACTTCGGCAAGAACCCAATGAGTAGGGGACTATTGTACTTTTTGGACCAATGAAGGAACGTTCCGAGGAAATTTTGATGAGTTGCTATCCATTACCCATATCCTTTAGAAATCTGGAGAACAGGCTGATGGCAGCTACAGAACAAAAATAAAAGCTTTTGCTTTTGATTTGGTCAGTTTCAAACCTGTTGGATTGTGTTATGAGTGTAACTATGTGATCAGGCAAGTTTGGGTACAAAATGCAAGCGACTCCATTTCCCGTAGATATGACCCTCCTAGCCTCAGTGGGCATGCTAGAGCCTTCTGTTTGGGAGCCTTCTGTTTGGGCTGTAGCTTCTCTCTCTCTCTCTCTTTTACACACATGCACACACACACACACACACACACACACACACACACGGAACATATGTCATTCTCATTGAATGGATTTGAAGCAGAATACCATAGAAAAAAACACTGCTTGAAACTTCGTGAGATCTGAGTGTCACTTTCTATCTACAGCCGAATATCTGTGTGAACTTGGGCAAGGCAATCACTTGGACCTTTGGTTACTCAACTATAAAATGAAGAAGATGATGATTGTAATAAAAACTGTGACATTGAATGACGTGGTGTATTTGGATACTTAGTGATTTACACACAGAAATATACAATACATGTTAGATGTTTTTGTAACAATTAATATGAAAGACATCCTTATATATTAATGCTAACTTATCCTTTAGTGTATATGTAGCTTATATGACTGAATTTTTGAGAATGCACAATAAGGCTTGTCTTTAGGATGTTACGAAGTTAGAATCTTGCTCTGAGTTTTATCTTCTTTATCTTTGGCTTTCCGTGAGCTTTTGGAATCAGTCCCATCCTCCTCAAGATTTAACTTTTGGTGCCCAAATGTCAAATTGGCCTTGTGCAAATGCCAACATTCCCTTGAGGTCAATGGCAAAGCCTGGCTTAGGAATCTGGTTCTACCTAGACAGGCAGAGGGAGCTTACTTCTCCCAGCATGAGTCTTCACCCTGTGGCTGTGACATGGGAATATCCAGGGGCACATCCAGGGGCATGGTTAAGCTGAGGTCTTGACCTTCAGGCCTGCAATGGCTGTTAATTGCTCCAGCTCTAAGCCCTAGTGTTTGAAGCAGTTAGTTTCTCAGAGCAAAGGCTGACCCTCTTGAAAGATCCTCCTAAAGAATCTTGTTAAACTGGCCAGGTTAGGGTGGCAGGAGTGATTTTGCATTGCTATACCACCTACTTGTTGTGGAATAACCTACCCCCTACCAATTTGTAGGACAGTGAAGGCTTGGTGTAGCCAAAAAGGCTTTACCACTTTAGTCATTTTCTGAAAATTTATTAAACCTGGAACAAGAATGATGGAGGAGCTAGAGTAATCCTTAAAACTGAATGGAAGGCAAGAGGAACATGCCTTATTCTTTCCACCCAAGTTCATATTTGGGAGGGAGGGAGGTTTAATTTGAGGCAGAGAGAGGAATAGAAAAGTTTGATGTCTGGAGTTTGAATCCTAGCTCCAATATCTTATGTATAGTGTTGACAAGGTCACTTCACTTCTTAGAAGCTATTATAGTGTTCCAAGAATGGGAACAGTGTGACTGGCATTGTGGTACAGCAAGTTAACCTGCACTTTGTCATATTAGCATCCCATATCAAAGTGTTTGAATCCCAAATGATCTGGTTTCTTTCCAGTTCCCTACTAATGTATCGGGGGTCCTCCCGTCCCGTGGAAGAAATCACCTGACACTTGAGAGAGTCTCCAAGGCGCTTTATTCCGATCTTCCGTTGAAACCGTTATGACCTTTAAGTCCGTTAAGCTGACGTCCCTCCCCCGCCAAGCCCCCTGCTTATCTGTCAAACTTGTCCAATCAGCTTAAAGATAACCAAGGCACACCAATTAGGGCAAAGGGCCAATCACAGGGCAGGAAATGGTCAGTGCCCCCAACACTAATGCACCTTGGAAAATAGCAGAAGATGGTCTTAGGTGTCGGGTCCTTCACCCCACCTTGGAGACCTGGATGGAGTTCTGGGCTCTTGGCTTCTGCTTGGTTACAGCTGTTGCAGCCATTTGGGGAGTGAATCAGCAGATGATTCTTTCTTTCTGTTCCTGTCTTTTTTACACTGCCTTTCCTATAAATAAATAAATCTTTAAGAGATGTAAAAACCCATGCACTTATTTCAGAAAACTACTATAAAGATTAAGTGAGAGACCTCATGTAAATAATTTAGTGTGGCACATGCCTGGAATATGTTAAGTGCAAGGCATCACCGTCATGGAGGCTTTGATGAGCAGGCAGGAAGAAAAGCTGGGAGAAGTAAGAAACAGCTCTGGTATCTCTCCCTGAGACGCCTCTTTAGTATTACATATTCATGAGTGCCAAGAGGAGAACTGAAGTTTTGGGAGAGCTGAAGTGTGGACATTCCTCTTCCCCATCAGTGGACAACAGATTTCCCAGGTCTGGTGTGTGTGTGTGTGTGTGTATGCGTGGGGGGTAATTTTCAGCTAGTGAGACCCAAGGCACAGGTTTCTGTGACTCTTCAAATCTGCTCTTCAAGAAGACTAGACTTTCATTTTGCTTCTTCCTTAGGAAACAGTTTGAATCCATCCCTAGAGCTGTCTTGTGCAGGGTTGTTCCTGATTAACCAGGGTTTGTAGTACATGTTGCGCAAGCCTCGTATTGAGAGTGCATGACAGTATCACGATAGAATGATCTATACCACCTTTGCACATGCACATGCTCATTCTCTCTCTCTCTCTCTCTCTCTCTCTCTGTCTCTCCCTGCCCCCTCCCTCCCTCCCTCCCTCGCTCCCTCGCTCCCTCCCTCGTTCTTCCTTTTAAGCGACTGAGCACAGTATGTAAAATAGATCAAAGCTTGGAAGACTGCCACTTTCCCTCCCTGCTTCCTGCAGCAGTTCTTAAAGGCATTTCTAAGAAAGTGAGGAAACTGTTTGCAAAATGTGGCAGTTGGCCCTTCCAGGTCGTATCAGCCTCTGTCTGGCCCTGGATGTGTGAATGAGCAGGCACAATGTATTAAATAAGCTTCCCCCTGTGCTAACCAAACACTTGCCTCCTGTAGTTCCTCTTTTTTAGTGCTGCCCAGGCTGCAGCAGTTGGCGGCCTTGGTTGCAGCCCTTGGTGAGGGCTGACTGAATGCTTATGGAACATAGAGCTCATTACGTAATGAAGTGTTACAACCAAAGTTTGTTCGGGAAGTGCTCAGTAGATTCTGAGGCAGAAGTAGTGCTCTTCAGAGCACCTCAAATAACACAGAATCTGCTGCATTACTTTATTTTGTAAGTGTGCTAGCTCCAGTCCCATTTCTTGTGAGAGGTCCCCAGGTGCACATAGTCTTCTTTCAGACGGCATGGCTCAACCTGACACATGTTTTCCTACCTCTGCATGAGAAATCTGAGTGGGAACTGAACTGCATCTTTCTCCTTCTCCAGGCTACAGATGCATATGTTGAATGGGGCTCTGCTGGCACTGCTGTTTCCTGTGGTAAACACCCGGCTGGTAAGTAGTCTCTTCTCAGACTGTTCTAGCAACGTGCAAAACAGTGTTTGCTTGCTCCTTTGTTAACCAATGCTTGTCCTCCGTCCATATGCCTACGTGATTTTATACACACATATACGTATAACACACACAGAGAGGAGTTTCATGGAGGTGGGAATATTTTGTGGAATTCTGGAACTACATTATTGGTTAGGATCAGAACTGGGGTATACTAAAGATCCTATAGAAACTTTTTAGAATTGCTGGTGGAAAGGAAAGAGAACTGAGCCCCATCTATTATATAGGTACTTTGGTGCTGTCCATGCTGTTTGAAGGGGCTCCTCTGGAGCCACATTGTTCTAGAATAATCTGCTGGGGAGTTTCAAAGCCAGTCTGGTTCACCAACAGCTCCCTTATGCAAGACTTAGGCTCCTTCCACATTCATCCAACTCCATGGGGCACTCTAGGCACACAGACAGCCAGGGGTTACCAGGGAGAATCCCCCTGTGCCAGAGAGTGAGGGGGATAGCCAGGTTAGGGAGAAGCAGGAGCAGGCAGGGTGGCAGGAGTTAGTCCTCAGATTCTCACATTTTTGGTCAGGGAGGGATTTGCAAACCAGCTACACTGGGAGACTCACGGAAAGAAATCATCTATAAAATCATTCCTTGTGCTTTTCGATTTTCAGCTTAAATTTGCCTTAGACATTAAGGTCATGGTTTAAGTCTTGAAATGATCATCTTTTTCTGTAGAATGTTACACTCTGGATTTCTTTCACATAGCAATTGTCTGCAGTACATTGGCAAGTATTAAGGCCTCTCATTTTGTAGACAGAAACTGACGTTTGCAGAGTCACATAAGTCTGAAATGGCAGCTTTAGGTTTAGAACCAATGCATCTGTTTTGAGTTTGTTTATTTTTAGTTGCTTAATCAGTCTTGACAGATTCCAAATAGTTCATAGATACAATTCTTTCTTAATAAAAGATTAAATTAATTATTGGAAACTCATATATACAGAGAGGAGGAAAGACAGAAAGATCTGTCTGTAGATTCACTCCCCAAGTGGCCACAATGGTTGGAGCTGAGCTAATCCGAAGCCAGGAGCCAGCAATTTCTTTCCAGCCTCCCACATATGTGATGGGTCCCAAGGCTTTGGGCCATCCCTGACTGCTTTCCCAGGCCACAAGCAGGGAGCTGGATGGGAAGCAAGCCGCCAGGACACAAACTGGCTCCCCCACATGGGATACCAGCGCATGCAAGGGAAGGACTTTAGCAACGAGGCTACTGTACAAGGCCCTATAGATATAATTCTAATAATGTATTTCCTTCTTTCCATCTCAATCTTCCCCCCCCTACCTTCCTTTCCTTTTTTTTTTCATTTTTGAGATACCATATTTTAAGTTTACATGGTAAAAAGGCTTCATGTTTCGCCAGATAAGACATTTAACAAGTAAAAAGCAAAAATACCCTAGTTACTGGGAACATAGATAATAGCTGTAAATAACAACTGAGTGGAAAAGTAACCTTTTCAAACCAAATAGAGTCCATTTTAAAGTGGTCACAGATCATTAAAACTATAGTAGTGTGACATTCTGAACCATTGGTTTGGGAAAGATATATAACAAAGTTGTACAGAACTATATTTGCAGCCATACTGGGAAATGCAGACTTTTTTTCCTTTTTTGTTTGTGTTTGTTTTCTTTTTTAAAACTTGTAACTTCCACATACAAGAGAGAGCCTACACTTTCTTTTGATCCTAAACTCAAAGCTACATTTGTTCCTTCTGCAGATTTAGTCATCTGCTCCTCACGAATATTGATATCCTCTCTCATGATCATAACATGTGGCTAGATGCATATTATACATGTGGAGAAATTACAGGAGAAAGGTACGTGGGCCAGTTGAATAGGAGAAATATGTTTTAAAGTTCTGTGGCACAGTAGGATAATCATGGTTAGGTAACTGTATTTCACAATCACTAGCAGAAATAAATAATAATTGTCTGAGATTATTGGTTAGCCGAGTGCTCTGATCTGACCATCATACTCTGGGTGCTCATATTGAAATAACACACTGTACTCTGCTAATACATACAATTACTATGTGGCAGTGAAATGTTATTAAAGTGTTTGTAGAAGAAAAGAGAGAGCGAGCAAAACGCATTAATCTAAAGCAGTGAGATCTTGAATACTTACTGTGAAAGGACTTAAAGTTTATGGAAAAATGACATAAAGCAACTATTTTGTTGTAAAACTGATGGGATTCATGTGACTTTCGTAACATGCACTCTCTATGAACTTTTAAAAATGCATTGCTTTGTTTATTAGGGAAGCAGAAGGGTAGGGATCCAGGCAGAAGAGAGACTAAGAGCGTTCCTATTCCCTAGCCCACTCCCCTAATAGCTCTTGTGGCTGGCACTGAGCCCAGGGCTGCGCAGGGCTCACAAGTTGAGAACATAATCCAGGTCTCCCCACAAAGGTGGCAGGAGCCCAGTTTATTAAGTCATCCCCATCCCCCAGAGTCTACATTTGTAGCAAGCTAAGGGTGAGGTACCGGAGCACTCTGAAACAGAATGGGGGTGAACTAACTGCTACCTGCTTGCTGTCTAAACTTTGTGAAGGTCTCTTGTATGCTGCAGGCTCACCTAAATAGTTGGATTTATTTACTCTATAGTGTCAGCATGCATCAGCACATCACATTGTACCCCATAAATATTTGTAACTATTTGTCAATGAAAAATGAAAAGAATATATGTCACTCATACTGTGACCGTCATAGGAGAGTCCAAGCTTGCGTAACAAACTTGTAGCTAAGCCTGGGCTTGTTTCCAAAGTATCACTGGGGATTCTAAGGTGGAGCTGGAGTTGAGAACCTCCAAAGCTGAGTGGCTACAGTCATCATGTAAAAGACTTGTTAAAAAGTTGTGACTTGCTGGGCTGAAAGATTTGATTGAGAAGGCTTGGGTGATGGTAGGCAATGAACACTTGCAGCAAATCTCCAAATGATGCCCAGGAAGGGCCCTCAGATAACTCTGGGCCCACTGGTGTCCTTAGGCCTAGTGTAGTTGTCACTTGTCTCAGGCCTATAGGATGAGAATTTTCCTTGGGTAGCTTATGTAGCCTCAAACCCTTCTTTTCAGGAACCTAAAATGCCTCAAAGACAGACGCCTGGAGCTTCCATTGAGTGGGTTCCTTGGATAGGGCACAGGAACAGTTCTTTTGTCTTAATAGGAAGGGTGCATTCTGTGCAGTCTTTTCCTCTGAACTGGGATCAGCAGTGCAAGCTACTGCCATTGGTACTGCTGCTCTGGCCCGCATCTTTATGCCCTGTAGCATGACTTGCCTGGCTTTCCCTGGTGAACTGTAGAATCAGGCCTCCTACCCTGGTCTCAGCCCTAGAAGGGGCAAAGAAACCATCTTGGAAACAAGCTTACACTTTTTAATTTTTTAAAGGCCGATTTTACATACTAAAGTATTATTCCTTTACTGACTTAGGGAGTGGGGCAGTGTTGGAACAGATGCAGGTGCACACTGCCTAGCAAATGGATCCAGTGCTGTCTTAGCCCATCACTCTACTCAGTTTGCTCCAATTGTCTCAAGAGATTGAGAGATCACACAGATAGTTTTCCTCATGGTGCACAGTTCTCAGGATTACAGAAAGGGGAAAGATGTCAGAAAACTCCCAGGGCTAACAGAGTTCATGATTTTGGGTGTGTTTCCAACTCCCCCCATCCCCAAAACTGTGGTCTAACATTCTCCGCTGTCAGTTGAAATCAGCATTATTACCTCAGACAGGCTAGTTAAGCTCCATCCACACGGAGATGTTTTCCCAATGAAATCTGAATAACGTACTTGTTGAGCCATTCAGCATGAGCAGAAGTTAAGACTGCATAGCACAAGAATGAGAATAAGGGCCCACAAGAGCTCAGTTGCATTCCTGAGATCGGTTAGAAAGCCAGTGGTGAGTTTGTGTTTAGTCCATAGTGTTATCCCTAAGGTGCTTTAGTCTGTTTTCCATTGCTATAATGAAATTCCTGAAGCTACATACTTCTAAAGAAAAGAGGTTTATGTCAGCCCAGTTCTGGAAGCTATAAACCCAAGCAACATGATACAGGTTCTGGCGAGAGTCTTCCTTGGCTACAGCATGTCTCACTCAGCAAATGGTTAAAACACTCAACAAGAGTGATAGATCATATTGCTCTCTTCCCACCCTCTCTTCTCTTACCCTCATCCTTTTCTGTCCTTGTCTTTTCTCTCCTTATAGTAGACATGACATCAAATCTCTTGCATGAACAGCTAATACTTTGCAAGTAGATGCCAAGCTGGTCAGTCAGGAATGTCCTTAGTTACCATCTCTGACAGTCAGCCTTCTTTTAATGTACCTTCTCTGAATTAATGGTAGCAGTCACTCTGGTGGATCTTTGCATTCTTTTTTTTTTTTTTTTCTAAAATGAAGCTGAAAAGAGCTTGGGATGTCTCTGCATGCATCATTATAGTTGGATTTGGTCTGCTTCTTTCAGATGATCAGACCCCTTCTTGGACAATTCTGGTCTTTAGGGAATTTTGCTTTCCAATCCCTTAGTTGAGATTCGGTTGATTTAAAATAAGTCTCAGGGAAATGGGCATTTTTTTTTTCCCTTAAACCTGATGATCCAATTAGGCAGAAAGCCAGTTTTTTGAGTTGTCTTTCTTCCTTTCTTCTTGGACCTTTATATTTTTAATCCTTTTTTTCTTAAACTCATTACCAGTAATGAAGAAGCAAGAAAAAATAAAATGAACTAATTAGTGTAGATGCCAGTACTTCAGACATACATAGCCTTATATACATGAAGAAAGAGTTGGAGTGCATTACCAGAGTCAGCTCAAGGATTTGCGGTCAGCAGTGTTATGTCCATGTGCTGTAGTATGCTCTGTGACTCACTGGCACTGGGGTTTGCAGACCAGCTAGAGAGTGCCCAGGTTTCAGTTCCCCCGACTCTCCATCTTCAAAGCTGTCACCTAGAAGAAGGACCTCAGATTCCAATG